TATTTTGTGATGAATATGCATTTAATTAGGGTATCTCAGCATAGATTTCCCTAATGAATTTTTAACAATAGATCTGTGTTTATAATATGAAGAGCGCCCTAGCCTGTAGGGTACAAAACACGTACTTTATGCCCTCGCGTCAATCCCCTTGCCTCCCCTGTCCCTCGCTCAGCTTCCTTCTTTTTCTACCGCCCCCCCCCCCGCTATCTTCTCTGCCGCCTTTCCTCAGTCTCCCATCCCCTCTCTCCCTCTGCAAGCTATATTATGAAGTTTTTCTTCAGACGGTATTGCACGCTTGAAACGGTGCGCGCACGTGCGCAATATCTCCCGAGAAGAAAAATATTTCGCAAAGATTATGCATTTAAAATAAAGAAGTTATTCTAGCATAGATTTTTACATAGATGATAACATTCCATCAGTAGACATCAATTAAGAAATAGTAGGCAGACCTTGCATGTAAGATCCCCGCTGCGTATACCAGCCAGTACACAATCTGGCTACGTTAGTGTGTTAGTGCATGCGCAGTATCTCACCAGAGAAGTTATATTTTGTGATAAATATGCATTTAATATGGTTAGGGGCTATCTCAGCATAGATTTCCCTAATAAATCTTTATCAGTAGACCTGTGTTTATAATTAGGAGAGCGCCCTAGCATGTAGGGTACAGTAAAAACCCGCGTACAAGAACCTGTATTTTTCCAGGTTAGCCTAAAAAGATTCTTATATAATTAGTGTTTACTGGGAAATTAGGCTATTTAGGTTCTTAAATAGGTTCTTATTTTCTTAAGAAAAAAATGTGCTTGTGGCTGGTAGAATATTGGTGCGGTCCATTGTTTATACAAAATATTCATATAATTATGTCTAAATTACTGCAATCTAGACAAATACAAACCCTATTATACGTTCTTATTTCTTTTTATGCCCTTTATACCTAATAGAGGTATATAGACCACCAATAACTTGTTTTAGTTGATTTATGAATTTTAAAGTGTTAACTGAATTTTATCAAATAAGAACCTGTTTCAAATTTTAGGCTACAACAGGTTCTTATGTCAAGGGGGTCTAAATGGAAAATCTTAGCCTAACAGGTTCTTAATCACTAGGTTCTTATACGCGGGTTTTTACTGTACAAAACACCTACTTTATGCCCTCGCGTCCTTCCCCTTGCCTCCCCTGTCCCACGCTAAGCTTCCTTCTTCTTCTACCGCCCCCAGATATCTTCTCTGCCGCCTTTCCTCAGTACTCCTTACAGCTATCATAACAGGTTATCCTAGAGCAGTGAAAGTCATTCAGATTGTCATGTATGTACGTATGTATGTATATCGAGGTATGATAATATGTATATATATAAACAACGAAGGCCAAAAACAAACGAAAACAAAACAAATATCGATATGCTGTACAAAACCTTCATAAATTTATTTCCCAAAACGCGAATCGCGAGACTTTGCCCCCGCTACCGCATGGCGTCACAAATCAATTCACGATAACAAAATCAACGACAACGACGGTGACGACAACGAAGTAAGTACGGGTTACAATCAGGGGGTCGCCCGTCCACGCGAGCACCGTTCAATGCTTACCGACGCGCATTCGAAACGCAGCATCAATGCTGAGAAGAAACGACGTCGTTCGTCGAGAACGGTCGGCATGCGTACGTAATACGGCGTACGTACGTAATATATAACACGTGGATAGCAGACGTATGTCATACGTTACACGGCGTACGTAGCAGGCGTACATAATACGGCAGACGTACGTCAAGGAGCTAAATATAACAAGGAGAGGAAGCGCCGCCATATCTGGCCCAAATATTTGC